GGCCGCGTCGCTATGGTGCCTTGATGCCGGGACGGGCGTAAAGAACATGCGCCCAAAATATATAAACTGTATATGTATGCATGTGTAAATGTGTATATATATATATATATATGGATGTACTCATATGTATTTGTACGTATACGTATGAGGATACATATATATATATATACATATACATATATATATATACACGTATTGATATGCATATGGCATGCATATATATATATATACATACACGTAATTCTTATCTATAAATATCTATAATGTCATATTTGTTAGATGCAAAAAAATATGTACATTTACGTGTATATATACATATATATATATATGTATGTAATATGGATATCCATGTGGCACATGGGTTTGGCCCTTGTCTCGCTTTGGAATCTTAGGTGGCTGTTCTGGCCATTGCTGCGCAAGAGGTTATCACAGGGCAGGCGTTCTCATCCGGGAAGGATGAAGCCTGGGTTCCAGGGAACATCTGCACTATGGATCACTTTGGTATAACCTATGGTTACAGGAAGGAACATCTACAGGATGGAGCCCTCTCAGAATTGGAACATCTACAGCCTTGGTTTCTGGTTGAATTCAATGAAACATTGTTGACACAGCAACCCTCTGGTAATGTTTTCGAGAGTTATGGAACACCGTTTTTAATGGGTGAATCATCTATCAACAAGCGATGTTAAATTACCAAATGATAACATGTGAAGAAGCTGAAAATTGAAATCCGTGCAGTAACCCTCTGGCAAGTAAGCAGGAGCCTCACACAAAAGATAGTTGGAAGATGGCTTGACATTTGAAGGTGTCATTTCTTGGGGTGCATCTTACAGTAGCCTTCAGGGGTGTGAACAACAGGTACGGACATTCAACGATAATGGTAGTGTAACCAACAAAAAGAAGTCCAACCAACAAAAAGAAGTCCAACCAATAAGAATACCACTTGGGGCATGTCCATTGAATTTGTTGATGTCGCGAATTTCCCCATTTTATTTTTGAAATTTGTTGTTGTTATTTTGATCTGCATTGTGATGTACTATGGATATACAGTAGATGGACAAATTATTCAAACCCCTATCCATGAGTTATAGGCCACCCCCTACCTCCCCCGAATTTCAATGTTATTGTTTCGTAGCGCTGTTCCTGCTCTGGGGGTTTGATTTATTTCGTCCATTCGAAGGAACGAACCAAACAAGAAAATAACATTGATATTTGGGGTGAGGGGGGTTGCTCTATGTATAAGGGTTTGAATAATTCGTCCATCTACGGTATGTATATATGATATGAATATACATACATTTTACATTGTACATATATGTATATACATATATATGATTATATGTATACATATATATATATACATAGATGCTCCCCAAACAAAATGTTCTTTGGTGCTGTACACAATTTCACAACATCACGGGATCCTTTTTTTGCCACCTCGAAAGGCAACAGTGGATATCACGCCGTTCCTCTTTGCGCGCTGAACCACGAAGTCGGGGTACATTTTTTCGCAGGACATGGAGTTTGGGATGATCCAACCGCAGTTTCGACTGGTCAGAGTTGATCTTGGCCCTAGCATCACAGTTTCGACTGGTACGTTTTCGTGGCATCCGGAAGGGGCCAAGGCCCCAAGGTCCCATGGCCACCGAAGATTTCTGGATCATCCCACCAGATCCTGGGATCCCAAGGAGCAGGATGGCCTTGGCAGGGGAGTGTGTCCCTTGCCACGGTGATTCATTTTTTAAAGCTCACAGCACAACCGCGCTGTCACCAGACTCAGCAACGTCAGGGGGGGGTTTACAGCAAAGCTGATTTCTGCTCTGAGGAATACCCAAGATGGATGGTTTCATGGTGATTGAGCTAGTCTGTGGGTCCTGTTTTGTGTCCCAAATCCTGCTAGGGTTGTTGGAAAAAGATGTTTGTTTTGCAGCCACTAGGAATCCCTTTCAAATGGGTGGGAACATCCAACACCATGGAAGAGTATTGGACAACCATTGACCCTGGATGCACTGCATGGGGTATCAAGGATGTTTTCTTTGCCAGCACTTCGTCTGGGAATATCATGGAACTAGACAGCTCTGGACTGGATGGATTGCAGGCAATACAGTCAAGTTCTAGTGTGTTGGGATCAGGTGGGGTTACCAAATATCTACATGCGTGTATGATACTGCATGTCTTAATCTGGTCTCAATCTTAATCTCTATCTATCTAATCCAAATCCAAATCGGGTCTTGACCTCAATCGCAATCTTTATCCGATCTAATCTGACCTACTCTATCTAATCTTAATCTAATCTTAATCTAATCTAATCTATTCTGTCTATTCTGTCCATTCTGTCCATTCTGTCCATTCTGTCCATTCTGTCCATTCTGTCTATTGGTCTGTCTATCTGTCTGTCTATCTGTCTGTCTATCTGTCTGTCTATCTGTCTGTCTGCCGGTCTGTCCGTCCGTCCGTCTGTCTTCTCTCTCTCTCTCTCTTTCTCTAGATACATAACAAA